CCCTTCCCTGGCAGGCTGCCACCGCACCCGGCTGCCCCCCAAGCCCCAGACTCAGGCCTGGGCTGCCGGGGAGACATGGGCCCGGGCAGGACGCCCACACAGCCGGGGCCTCCAGGCCCGACCTCCGCTGGCCTTCTGGGGGCAGAGGACGGCTCGTGTGGCTCGCGGGAGCCCTGCACGCGGCCTTGCCCTCTGGCCGGTGACAGGGCCAGAGCCCACCCTACACCGGCCAGCCCCGCGCTTCCAGGGCACCGGGATCCGGCTACACACCAGCGACGGGGTCATTCTCCAGCAGTGGGGCGCAGGGAACCTGGGTCTGGCTTCGCACTGAGCCCCGGAAGCCACAGGAGGGCAGCTGCAAGCTCAGCCACGAAATGGGCTCTCACCAGGTCGGGGACTTGGGCCCCCGCACCTAGCACGACCCCTGGACCGTGCCCCTACGGGCACAATGCGCCTGCCCCGCCGGGGGGGAGGGCAGCACCCCGCCCTCAGCAGGCCCGCGCACAGTTGTGTAGACAGCCACCCTGGCCGGGACCCCAGGAGGAGAGGCAGGCAGCCCGCTGCTCCCAGACATGGATGACAGAGTGAAAATTAAGACCCTCTGCTTCATTCTATTCACCCTGGCTGGTAAATCGACTTGATTAGAACCAGCAGTCAAGAGAGGCAGGAGGTGGGGACAGGCACGTCACCGCGCAGGGGGGCCCCGGGGAGGAGTGGGGGCCGGGCTGGCCCAGGCTCCTGAGCACAAGCCAGCCCCAGCCCAGCCGGCGAGGCCGCTTGAACTACCTCCCTGGCCCAGCGGGGAGGGCCAGGATTTGGAGATTCTCAGGAGGAAAGGATGAATCGGCACCTCGGGGAGCAGCGCCCCTCCCCCACGCACTTGGCTGGGAGCTGAGACTTGGGAACAAAATGCAAGCAAGAGCCAAGAACCTGGAGCCCCAGCTGGGCCCTCGCGGCCTCAGAGAGGCTGAAGCTCAGCCAGCATCTTTCCTGCCGCCCCCAACTCTGCCTCCCGCTCAGCCCCCTGCAGATGAAGGCCGGGGCCTCTCCCTCCAGCTCGGCTGGCAGTCACCCACCGCTGGGAAGCTGCAGTGGGACTGCACAGGCGCGGCGCAAGCCGGGAGCCGAGGAGGGCGCCGGGGAGCCGGGACCTCCAGTGCCAAGGCCTGGGGACGGCAGCCCCCGCCCTACCGACCTGCACCCCTGGCCCCTCAACCCGGGGCCCGGAGGCGAGGGCACCCCATTCCGGGGTACGGCAGTATCTTTTTTTATTTTTTTAAAGATTTATTTACTTGTACATACAGAACTGGGGTACAGGCCAGAGGCGCAGGGGCGGCGAGAGGCTTCACCAGAGACAGAGTGGGGAGCAGGACAGGTAGAGTGACGAAGTCCACTGCTGAGGGGAGCAGCGGGCGGGTCAGGAGAGGTCTGCCGCGCCCTGTGGTCACCTCCGGGGCAGGCGGGGATCGAACTCATGCGGAAGCGGCTTTAGCTTCTCAGTGCTGCGCTCTTACCCGCTGCGCCCCCAGGGAGGCCCCTACAGCAGTATCTTTCAGGAACGAAACCTACTGGCTCTGCCCAACCACCTGGCCTGCTGGCCACACTTAAGATGCTGGCACAGCCCGGGCCCCATGGGCACAGGGCAAGACCACCCCCTCCTCATATCCTCTCCCCGGGGCCTCGTCCCCCTTCTGCCTTGTCTGTGAGCTGGGGTGCCAGCCGGGGCCGGGCTGCCCTGTCTGTGCCAAACCACAGCCACGACACGTCCGGCGCCACAGGAGCAAAGCCCAGGGCTCAACGTGCATTTCCCAAGGGACGTTCAGTACGTGCCGAGGTCCCGCTTGCCCTGGACCGAGCGTGTAGCGCAAGCGGACGCCGAGCGAGCACCACGGCCTGGCCCAGGGACTCGCTCCGGCAGCCCGGCCCGCCAGCGGAGCCCGGTGGGCAGACACGGGACGGACACGAAGCGCAGCACACGCGAAGGTCTAAATTTAGCCTGTCGTTACTCATCAGGAAGGACAAAGGGAGCCTCTCTGGGGGGAGGAAGCTGAAATGTTCCGATGGAGTTATTAAAAGAAAATAAGTCAAAAATCAAAGAATCAAGTCTAGCAAAACAGGGACTGAGGCTTTTGGGTGGGCGCTGACTCAGACAGGCCAGCAGCACCCGGCGGCGCGGACATGCGCCCAGCCCTGACGGTGATTTCGGGGTTTCCCATCTGCTTCCTCCTCCTCTGACCATGGCCTAAAAGTCTGACTACGCCAGAGGCCTCAACAGGTGAGAAGAACACGTGGCCCTGCGGGCGGGGGAGGCGCCCAAACCCCTCTTCGGGCTGCTGGGTGCGGCTACCGGCGGGCTGAAGAGCCGGTGCCAGCGCGGAAGGCCCTGGGCGTCGCCCTGCGAGACACAGGAGGGTGGGCAGGGCCAAGGCCGAGCCTGGTGGGGGTGAGGGGTGGGGTGCGCGGTGCTGGGCCGGCCAGGCCACGGCCTGGGCAAGCGGGGTGTGGACACCGAGAGGGGCCCCAGCCCAGCGCTCACACCCTCCGCGTGCCATCACCCTCCACCCCCGCGCCACGGAGGCGGGCGCACAGGGCGGGCAGCTCTGCTGCTGGACATGCTGAAGTTCCACCGGCCAGCAGAGCCAGGCACGCTGGGCCGACGGCCTTCTGAGGCCGAGGCCGTGGCCACGCGGGACCCGCCACAGTGCCGCGATCAGGCCGAGTCAAACCAGAGTTCTGTGTCCCGGCCCTTCCCGACATGTCAAAGCCACTTCACGGAGACTCGCGTGTCCACACTGCTCCCCGAGGGCCACCGCATCTGTACAACGTCAGAGGTCACCCCCAGTTTGGTAGCCGGATGAGGGAGGACACGTATCCCCCACCCCGGCAGGGGAGCAGCCAGGACACAGACCTGGACACCCAGGGCCTGAGTCTCCATCACCACCCTAACAACCCAGCCCCGACCCAGGGTCCGCAGAGACGGCACAGGCGGCCCCTGGGAATCCTTGGCTGATGTCAGCCCACAACCTGAAACAAAACGGAACAAAACCCAGTTTCTTTTAGGAGGAGGGTGGGTGCGAGCAGGACAGAAAGCCCTGGCCCTGAGTCCAGCAGAGTCCTCACAGCTGAGTGGCCTTTCTGGCCTTTCGGCACACCTGTTCCCGCTAAAGGAGGTTCAATGCCATCTCTAGCCTCTCGTCCTCCCCGGAGCTGGGCTTTGACGAGTGCCATGACCGGAGGCCCCGCGGTGGCCGGGAGGCTCCATCCGGGATGGCTGCTGGACGTTGGCACTGAATCGTTAAAGGTGGGGCGGGGCCTCGTGGACCGGCTCCCTCCAACTGCCCGGTTCACGCACAGGCCCGAGGCCAAAACAGGTGACCTGGCAGTGGACACAGCCACGAGCCGGCCCAGCAGGCCCGGGTGCCAGTGACCGTCCTGGGGAAAGGGAAGGAGACGCTCGGTGCGGCCCCGGCCCTGGGGCTGGCTGGTTCAGACTGCGAGTCGGCTCACCCCAGGCGCCCCCAGCCTAAGGCCGCAGCTGCCGGGCCCAAGGCCGCGGCGGCGAGGGTGACCTTACTCGCACCAGAGGCTCTGTCCACACTTGAGGGAACAAGCCGGGCAGCTGACAGGAAGGACACGGAGAAAATTTGCTCACGCACTCTTTTTTTCTTGCTTTAAATGATGTCGCCAGCTCAAGGAGAAAACGTTTTTCCAAGCAGGATAAAAATCAATCACTTCCGAGAAGTCGCCACTCTGAGATGCCGAGAAAGGCCCAGCGGTGTGAGGGATGGCAGAGGCGTGTCGGAACCACACACGGGCCGAGCTGGCTCCTGGCGGGGCGCAGCCACACGCCCGACCCTGCACCCAGAG